TACTGAAGGGGAAATGATCAGGAAGTGATCAGGAAAGGGAAATGGTCACATCAACTCTGTGATGGAGAAAATACTCACAAATCAAATATCTTATGAATCTTTGCTATCTTCATAGGGAACTCCTATAACCCAATGGCAAAAGTCAATAAATAAAAATGACACAATTTTAAAGATAAGTAAAAGATTCATACAGACATTTTCCCAATGAAATCGCACACATGGCTACTGGATGCAAAAAAAAAAAAGTTGTTCAACTTCTTTAATTAGAGGCAAATCAAAACCACAGGAAGATAGTATCTCATTCTGGCTACATTGTCCCAAAACAGAACAAAGGGGATTAGATACAGAGAGATATGAGGAGAAATGATACAAACTGGGGTAGCCACTATAGAAAATGGTGTGAAAGAACAATATGAAAGTCCCTTATAAAATTAAAAAGACCTCCGGGCCCAGACCAGAGATCTGCCTATCCGAGTGGGACCATCCTGAGTCCCTGCCTGCTGGATCTTTGACCCCCCATGGCCAGGCCACTGCTGGAGGGCCCCTGTCTGAGGAGAGACCTCCTAGAGTGCTTGGACCACCCAGAGCTACAGACATCGAACTTCTGACCCACCTAAGCCCACCAGGGGAGTAACATAGAGTGAGAGAGACCCCACCTGCACTTACTGGAAGAAGCGATAAGAAGATGGCAATATAAGAAAACACCTAACAATAGAAAGACAAGCATGACACCACCAGAATCTAGGGACTCTATACCAACTAGAACCGAACACCCGAAATCAGATAAAGCAGAAGAGAACAACTTAAAAAAAATCTTCATAAATATGATGGAGGCCCTCAAAGATGATGTGAGAAAATCCCTTAAAGACATAGAAGACAAAACAAACAAAAAATTGAACATTGAAGAAATGAACAAATCTCTTAGAAAGTATGGAAAGCCAAGAAAAAAACAATTAAACAGGTGAAGGAAACAGTTCAAGACTTAAAAACTGAAATAGAGACAATAAAGAAAACACAAACTGAAGGGATGTTGGAAATAGAAAAACTTGGCAAACGGTCAGGAACTACAGACACAAGCATAACCAACCGAATACAAGAGATGGAAGAGAGAATCTCAGGCGCGGAAGATAAACTAGAGGAAATAGATTCATCGACCAAAGAAAATCACAAATCCAACAAATCCTTAGCACAAAACATCCAGAATATGTGGGACCCTGTGAAAAGGCCAAACCTAAGAATAATAGGCATAGAAGAAGGCAGAGAAGCCCAGCTCAAAGGATCACCAGCCTATAATTTACACAGCCAGAGGAACTAGGATACAAGGAGGATTCTAAGAGATTCATATAAGGTCCCTCACTGAAGGGGAAAGGGACAAGATCTCCTGAGCATATTGGGAGTGTGTGGGGGGGGGCAGTGATTGGAGAGTGAGCTAGCAGAAAGAGAAGGGGAGAAAAGGAAAGTATGTGGGACTAGGAAGATTGAGCCAGGGGAGGAATAGACGAGAGAAGAGAGAGAGAGAGACCATAAAAGATGGAGCCATTATAGATTTGAAGAGAAAACTGAATCTAGAGGAATGTCCAGAGACCTACAAGACTGACCCCAACTAACAATTTGAGCAATAGTGGAAAGGCTACCTACCATAAATGCCCTTCCCTGATAATGAGATCGATGCCTAACTTCAACGACTAACTTATCCACCATCATAGAGCCCTCATTTAGTAGCTGATGGAAACAGAAGCAGACACCCACAGCTAAACACTGAGCTGAACTGGAATCCAGATGCAGAGAGGGAGGACAAGATCAGGCTACAGAAACACATAGAGACAGCTGACCTGAACAAGGAGGAGCTAATGGAGACCCAGACTGATAGCTGGGAATCCAGCATGGGGCTGACTCAGACCTCCTGAACACGGGTCTCAGCTAGAAGGCCTGGGCAATCTAAGGGACCTCGGGACAGTGGAACCAGGATGTAACCCTGGTGCACAAAAGGACTTTGGGAGCACTTTCCCCATGGAGGAATACTCCCTTAACCTAGAGGCAAGAAGGAAGGCCTAGTTCCTATTCCAAATTACTTGACAGATTTAGATGACCCCTCCTGGAAGGCATCACCCTACATGTAGAGTGGGGGATTGGGTTGGAAAGGGGGGGGGGCAAGAGGGAGATAGGAAAGGGAGGGACCTGGGATCGATATGTAAAATAATAATAATAATAATAATAGAACATTCATTAAAAATTAAAAAGAGGAGTATACTGTGGCCCATCAGCCCTACTCTAAACACAAAATAAATAAATAAATTTCCCATTATTCACTAGTTCCCTCCTTATGCACCAGAGAGAGGATAGGGGCAGATGGAGATTGCAATTTGAAGGAACAAGTGAAGAAAATCTGGATTTATCTGACCTCTTAGTGGGGACCTAGAACTTTAATCAGCATCCTTAAGCCAACCAGTATGGTTTTCTGTTTGGCTAGGCAAAATGGATGGGGCAAATGAGGCATGATTGTTGATTATCTAAGGCAAAAATGATGGGATAAGTAATCCTTGCCTGTCCTGGACCTTTTGAGAAAACAGTTGGCGGCCCCAGATCTTTTTTGTCCCCAGGGAGTTCCTGTGACGTCACTGGGAGAGACACATCTTTGTGTTTTGGGACACTAGGGTAAGGGGAAGAGGACAGAGGTAATGGAGAAGCATTCCCAGGGTGGAAGTTGCGTAATGAAGGTTGGAGAGAGGAGATGATGACTCCTCCCTCTCTGCAGACACTACCCTCGGGTTTCTCTCTAACGGTAGAGGGGGTCACTCAGGCGGCCACGGTGGTACTTGCTGCTCTGCTGCTGCCTTGCCAGCTCCTCGGGTGCCAGTCAGAGAGAGACATGAACAAGTCTCAGAGGCCTGAGGATAGCTAGGAGATAACACCCCGGAACTCACTCTGTGGACCAGGCTGGCCTCAAACTCACAGAGATTCGCCTGCCTCTGCCTCCCAAGAGCTGGGATTAAAGGTGTGCACCACCAACGCCTGGCTAAAAACTACTTTTTTATCTTCACTTTGCATCTCCTTTTGCCATAAACTTTGCAGTCTGCTTCCTGCTTAGCTCTATACACAGGCACACAATTATTTAAAGAATGTCTATCTGTAAACGGTCACATGGGGGGTTGGGGGTAGGGGGTGGTGATGGTGGTGGTGGTGTTGAGTTCTAAATAAATCCGATTCTCTTGTTCCCCTTCAAGCCTGAAGCATAAGCTAACTTTTTAAGGGACATGATGGCACCGTCCTCCAACAGCTTTTATGATACCTATTCCGGACGCACCAGAGTAGCACCTCAAAATTCACAGTGGTTGCACTGAAACCTTCCAGGAATAGTGAGCCTTAGAGGGATAGCTGCCCACGGTGAGACTCAGGAGCAATGACTACACAGGAGCAGTCACCTCAGTCTAGAAACTGATGCTACCATGGATGACTTCCCTAGAGCCTTACAGCCCCCCAAACTGAGATGATAATCACCCAGACCACAGTGAGCCTAACTGCACTTATGTGTACCTCTTGCCTCTCCCTACCAGGTCCTTCCCCTGTTTAATCCTGAAGTTATGCAGTCTCCCTCTGCCCACCCCCAAACACTTTTCTTTCCAATATGGCAGATACAATAGTCCTAGTGTCCACTCTGCTGTCACTGAGATTTCTTCAACTTTAAGGGGAAAGGTTACGATGGACTCAATCCTGTGTCTTAAAAAAAAAGATTCTCAATCTTGAAAAGCATTTTTCCCTCCTCTCCTTACTCCACTGCAAGGACACTTAGGCTTTTATTTGTATTGTAACCCTATTCCACAAGGAACATTCTAGAATGTCCCCCACCCCCACCCCCCACCCCCACACACACGTTTCACAGCTTTCTCGGGTTCTGGTTTCTCCATGTTCCATGCACTCTAGAAATACTTCAAACAATAAAAACGCGTGGAGTCTACCAGTCTTAATTGCTTCGCAGAGCAGCTACGGTGGGCATTTATCAACTCCAGAACCATGGTTTTAGAAACTGATTTTGAGCAATCTCATACAAGACTAGTGGGTACCAGGAAGCCAGTGAATGTTGACGGCATTGTGACTAATATGCCTAGTTTTGTTGTTTGTTTGGGAGATTTGCCAAAAATACTGTTTGCAGCACTTCTGGCTTCAACTCTGCCAGAATGCGTCCTTGAACAACAATCAACAGTGATTCCTGGCTTGGCTCCCTTTCTGGTGGCACTCTCATATTCTTTTGCAGACTTCCATGTCCATCAGTGGAGTCCTTCAAGTCTTAAAAATGGAATAACTATGAAGCACAGATGCAGACATAAGAGACACTTGGAGCCTTGCACAGCAAGCTTCCTGGGCGCCTTATTCTGGGAAGTTTCAGTGGGAGTGCATTGCCAAGACAGCTTTCCCAATAAGGTAGAAACTGAGTCCCCAACTGGGTCCCCAAAATGGGAAGCCTCCTAGAGCGCCTACACTGCCATCCTCAGGCCTCCAAAGCGCCAGGACGGAAATCCCGGACTGAGTTCTAGCAGGACACCTAACTAGCTCTTTTCCCGCTGACACTGACTGGTCCTGGCTGCCTCTGCGCACCTGGGACCCTGACAGGAACCCGCAGATTCCGGGATGCTAATGACGCTGCAGCCAAGGGTGGCTGCAACCTAGATTGGGTTTCCTGAGTTTCGGGCCAGAGGAACCCTCTGCAGTGCCCTTCCCTTTATCTGGAGAGTGTGGCAGTAAGGCCACCCCTTTCTGAGACTGTGTGAAACCCGTCCTAAATCCTAGCAGCTCAAAGCCTGCGCTGCAATCCGCAGACAGCACCCGGAGCTTCCGGGGCCAGTACCCGCCTGAGAGAAAGTTTGCGAGCATTCGCAGCACTCTGTTCCGCAGTGCGGACACATAGGACCATCTCGGGGCGCTGACTGGGGGACGCTTCTGCAAACCGGACCTAGTCACTGTGTGCGCAGCCTGACTGAGAGCAGTAGGGGTTGCAGGCTTACGTCTGGGACAGGCGGGGCTCCGACGCAATCCTTCCAGCTGCCCAGAGCCTGGAACGGGGGCCCGAAGAGGAAGCCACCGGTCCCCGAGGGGCCGGGTCCGACGGCTCCACCTGTAGCCTCTCCCGGAATGCGTGCGCAGCCAAGCCCACTCGGTGCTTGGAAGCCAGCAGTAGAAGGGACTCTGCAGGAGAGGTAGCATCGCCCAGGACAGGAGCAGTGGGCTCTCCGCACAGAGCTGACCCGAACGCTGAATAAAACCCTGCCCATGATTGCCAGCGTTCCCGAGGCTGAGCCACCAGAGTGGAGGACCGTCCACCTAGGGACTGGCTTCAGGACAGTGAGCGCGCCACTGAGAAGTGGCACCCACGGACAGGAAGGAGGTGGCACTCACGGACAGGAGGGAGGAAGGGACAGGGGAGAAAAAGGTTGACTCTGAAGTCACCAGGACTCAGGCTACTCAACCTGTGTGCGGGAGGAGCACAGAGTGGAGTGAGGATCTTACCCTCTGTGCGGAGCTAGCTCGGCGACTGCGCTCCTCCGGAGCAGGGGCGGGGGGCCGTTTCGTGAACATATCTTTTTCCTCCATCCACTCTTATCTCGGCCGCTTTTCTCTGCTCTATGGGAAGGCACTACCGATGTCTTTCTCCTCACTCAGACTGAAGTTGTACTCAGGGGATGGGAGCTCCATATTTTGTCTGCTGGGCAGACCCCACCCGCAGACCACTCCCTCCCTTCACTCACGTCTCTTGGTCCTACCCATAACCCTTAATGACAGTTCCTCCATCCCCACCCCGCCTTCAAAAAAGTTATTCTTCTAAGGCAGATGGGAAGTCAAGAGTCTACTGCCCCCATCCTCCACACCAGGGGGAAAAAAGCAAAATCCAAACAACAACAAAACCAAAACAAAACAAAACAAACAAACAAAAAAAAAAAAAAAACCCACTACAGGACAGGAGTAGCAAAGGCCATACATAACTTAGTTATGGAATGACAGTGAAAAGGGAGTGCTCTCCTCATCACATCCCAAGACACCCATCCCTCCAAGCAGGAATCTAGTCAGCCAAGTACCAAAAGGACTGCCACAGGCAGTGATTCAATGCCACGTTTGACGTGTTGGGAAAAGATAGAAGCTTTTGAAGGCAGGCATTATTTGTAGCAAGCTAATTGCAAATCTGTCTTCTGCTACAAGTTTAGGGAGGCAACTGCTTTTGCAAGACTGACCCTGCTCAGGCTTCATGGACCCGGAGAACTCAAGCCTGGGACTGCCTGCCAAGAGCATCTACAGGCTGAAGTTAGAGGCCAGCAAATCCACACCTGTCATTCACAGGGTGCCATGTCCCTAAGGCAGCAAGGAAGGCACTAGAGGCTTTTCACTGCAGAAGTTACATTGCCACTTGAAGACCAAGGAGGGAGGGGAAAAGAACAGAAGGGACCAAGGGAAGACAAGGGATGGAGAGGGGAGAGGAGAGGGGAAGGGAGAAAGGAAGGAAATAAAAAATGAAGGAACCAAAGACTTCATTATGTTTTCTTATACATTACTTTTAATCCGATCTCAATCAAAATCTTGAAAATTTCAAGTTACTGAAGCAGTCCAACTCCATTAGAGGCCGCACAGTCAGAGGCCTGTCCCTTGAGTGTCATTGTGTGGACAAAGGCACATTTGTACAACTAGAAGGGAGTGGTAATGGATATTTTGCTTCCAGAAGACATGTGATCTGGGGACTACCATATATGTGATATGTAGTTAAAGAGGAGGGACACTGTCTTATGTTGTTCCAACATCAGTGAGTAATGCACTAACTAAAAAAATGTTTCCTAATTCACAACCCCATGTGTTCTATGTTCTAGCACGACTTTGTGATGAGCTTTTTTTTTTTTTTTTGGTTTTGTTGTGATTTTATAAACTAAAAACAATCTTATTTTATATGCCAATCCCAGTTCCCTCTCTCTCCCATGCCCCCCATCAACCACTCATCCACTCCCCAGGTAGGGTGAAATCTCCCATGGGGGATCATCAAAGTCTGTCACATCATTTGGGGCAGGGCCTATACCCTCCCCCATGTATCTCAGCTGAAAGAGTACCCTTTCACAGAGAATGGACTGGACTCCCAAAGTCCATTTGTGCACTAGGGACAAATACTGGTTCCACTGCCAGACTGCCCAGTCCTCCTAACTGGCACCCACATTCAGGCAGTCTGGGTCGGTCCTACACTGGTTTCCCAGCTGTCAGCCTGGGGTCCATGAGCTCCCCCTTGTTCAGGTCAGCTATTTCTGTGGGTTTCTCCATCACATTCTGTGGGTTTGCTTATCACTCCTTCCTCTCTACAACTGGATTCCAGGAGTTTGGCTCAGTGTTTAGCTGTGGGTGTCTGCTTTTGCTTCTATCAGCTACTGGGTGAAGGCTTTAGGATGGCATATAAGGTAGTCATCAATCTCATTATAGGGGAAGGGCATTTAAGGTAGCCTCTCCACTGTTGCTTAGATTCTTAGGGTCATCCCTGTGGATCCCTGGACATATATATATTTCACATGTGTCCTCTAGCTCAAATGAGAAGCAGCTGCCTTGACATTCCCCAGTGGCCATGGAAGGCATTTTGCAACTGCTTTCTTAACCAAGACACTACCTCACCACCACCCACAGGGCACCCATCTGGGATCCCAGAGCTCAGCAGGCACATCTGCCAGCTGCACCTTGAGGGCCAGAGTTCCTTGGTCTGTGAATGGAGAGCATCAGGTGGATCTACAACCATCCTGCCTTCACCCATGAGTCTTTCTTTTCCATGTTCTGCCCCCTGGTGGAGGTCTTGTGGGAACTATGAAACTACAAAGAACATGGTGTCTCCCTTTGCTTTCCTGCACTGTCTTCCTAAAGCTGACAGTACTGGTAAGGGAAACATGCTCCACTCCCTTCTAATAGCTCCAGTTGCCATGAGTATCAAACCAGTAGTCGGGTATTTTTTACTGCTGGGGGGGGGGGTAAAAAAAGAGGGTGAACACCTGTTTATACTTCGTAATTAACTTCTATCCCATAAGAAATCAGATGTTCCTTATATTTAAGTTAATTATGAGGACTGCTCACTGTGATCTTTAATGACAGAGACCCAACTAGCCATCTATTATCACCAAATGAAGCTTCCAGTACTGGGAATGGGTTACATCTAATTGAGTTGTTAGCCAAAGTGGTCCCATGGGAATGCTCAACAACCCAGGCCCTATTGCTGAAGATAACACATAGACAACTCACTGAACATGGAGAAGTCAAGTTTGTGCCTACATAGAGCCTTCTACGTCCTAGTCTTTGGTACAGTATGGTACTCTACACACTACCAAAAGAGAAACATACACACCAAGCTAGATACAAACCCTTTCATCTACAATGGTGTGCTGTCTGCAAGTTAACCTTGGGCAATGGTGGAATTACCAATATCTGATTTGACTGAGGCCCATTGCCCACTCCACAAGATGGAACTCATACCTGGACATTGCTGGGTGGTCAAGAATCAAACTGGATTGCCCAGAGACCTAGGACAAACACAAATACCTCTGTTCCTTTTTTTTTTTTATTGATTTTAAATTAGAAACACTCTTATTTTATATATCTCAATCCCAGTTCCCTCTCCCTCCCATTCTCCCATGTCCCCCACCAACCCGCATCCTATCCCTCTTCTGCTCCATAGAAAGGGTTAAGCCTTCTATGGGGGATCATCAAAGTCTGTCACAACATTTGGGGCAGACCCTAGGCCCTCCCCTGTGTGTCTAGGCTGAGAGAGTATAGCTCTATGGGGAGTGGGCTCCTAATGTCCATTCATATACTAGGTATAAATGCTGTTCTAATACCAAAATACCTGTTTTTAAGAAAAATAAAAATAGCAACAAAATGACTCATACTGACATTCTGCTATACTCATAGTGCCTTATTCAGCCATCAACAGGGACACTTCCTCCTGCAGCAGATGGGAACAGATACCACAACCAGATAATGTGCAGTGAGAGACCTTGGAACACTCAGCAATAAATGGAATGTCTCTATCAAATCCCTCCTCTCAGGGCTCAGGGAACCCTGCACAAAGGAAGCGGATAGTGTTAAGAGCCAGAAGGCTTAGAGGGCACCAAGAAAACAAGGTCCCCTAAAGCAACAGGGCCTATACACATACGAACTTGTAGAACTCACAGAAACTACACACACCTGCACCAGATGGGGTCCCCCACCCCTAATCCAGGAGAGATCTACAACTGATAACCACTTGCAAATGAAAATTTCATTTTCCAGGGGAATCTCACTACTGCATGTCCAGCAGTGGACAGATAGTGCAACAAAAAAGGAACTCAGTAACATTGGAAATTCTTCTGCCACCCCCTCCCCTTACCCTACAAGTCCTTTGTATATGCATTATAGCTTACAGTTTATGGTTTTTGTGTATTCCTGAGTGTGAATGTATCTGTTTCTTGTGCCTTCTCTAACTCTTTTCCTTGTTTCATCCTATTCCAGTGTGTTAGTTTTTATTAGCCCCTAGAAGCCTGTTTGTTTTCCAGTGAGAGATGGAAATCCAGAGGTAAATCCAGATCAGAGAGGAGGTGAGGAGGGAGTGGGAGTAGTAGAGGAAAGGACAGCATAACCAGAATATGTCTTGTGAGAAAAAAGAAATCTATCGTCAATAAAGGGGGGGGGGGAGGAATAGTGTGACTCCATTTCCAGGGTCCCTTTTGCTGTTCTGGGGAGCAAATCCATTTACTAGAGAAGCCAGCCTTAAAGGCAGAAGACTGAGTCACTCATCAACACGATGCTTCTTAAGTGTTCTATGCCAAGCACTTCACAGAAACCAAAATTCTAAAGTACATATATAATGCTTCTTTCCCAGTCTATGACGTTCTTTAGTGACAAGGCCCTAAAGTCCAAGGTTAGGTGGTCCCATTGCTGCCATTCAGAAGGTAGCTTCCACAAGACAGAAGAGGCATGTTAACTTGAGCTCCTGGGCTTAGCCATCTGCCTTACTTCCCATTCCTGGAAGCAGGAAGACTAAGAGCAGAAGTCACTGTTCTACCCTTATCTAGCCCTGGAAATGCTGGCTCCCATTGTACCTCTGGTTTTTGACACAGGGTCTTGCTGTGTAGCCAACCTGGTCTAGAACTCACAACCCTGCTATCTCAGCCTCCTGAGTGCTTGTATAATTCTCATGTACCACCATGCCCATTTACCTCAACCATGCCATGGAGACTAGAGAATTTTCCAGAGTTTCAGTAATTTTGACCATAAAAGGCCTGAAGCTGAGACAGTCACCACCACCACCACCAGCACTGAGCTT